AAAAATTAAGGGCTCAAGGTTTGATGCTCTTAGGCAAGTTGGTGAGAATTTTGGAAAGGATGAGGGGAACTCTGGTGAGTTTCTTGATCAGACTGGTAGCAGACCAGTGCAAGCTTTGGTGACTGATTTGAATATGGGAAATAAGGTTTGGACAAAATCTAAGGGTAAAAAGTATGTTGCTAGGCAGGCTTTGGAGGATATTTCAAACAAGAGCTTGCCTGTGAAGAACCGTGTGAAGGAAAATTATCAAAATACTGGTGTGGCAACTAGAAATACATCTGGAAGTCGCCAAGCTGCTAGTGTGGCAAGTAGAAGTGTCATTGGTATATCTGATTCTATAGGAATGGTGGGATCTCAAGGCAAGAAAAGTGTTGCTGCTATGCTAGTTCTCTACATGAGCAATTTGCGAGCTGGGGTAGTGGACAATCAGTTCAAAAGGAAAAAGGGTTGTATATCTTTGGGCATCAGCCACCCAATATAGGGGAGGTGGCTACTAGTAGGGATGACAATTCTGGTTCTGACAATGATGATGAAGTGCTAATCCCTTCAGACAGTGAGGGTTTGGATCCCACAGAAAAAAAGGACTTTTCGAAAGGACGCGTTAGTTCACATGGTGGACATTTGGCAAGTAATACTTCCACTTATGCTGGGGGTATGACTTTTAAATCTTAATAAAAAGGTTTTAGCCCATTCGGTTACTCTACTCTTTAATGAGTTTTTAATGGATATTTGTTGTTGGAATGTTAGAGGAGGTGCGAGCTCCAAATTTAAGTCTAATGTGCTTGATTTGATTCGCACTCATCGATTGGATATGCTTTTTCTTTGTGAGCCTCGGATAAGTGGAGCAAAGGCTATTTCTGTAGTTAAAACTCTCGGTTTTCCTTGCTTTGAAATTGTTGATGCTGTGGGGTTTTCCGGGGGTTTGTGGTTGTTATGGGATGATTCTAGAGTTCATGTAGAAGTTGTTGGCACCTCTGATCAAACGATTTCTGCTTGTGTGGCTCGCAATGGTCAAAACCCTTGGCTTTTTACTGGTGTTTATGCTAGTCCTAATGTTGGCAAGCGAGGGAAAATGTGGGACTATCTCTCATTTGTTGCTGCAAGTCATAATATGCCTTGGTTGATTGCCGGGGATTTTAATGAGTTACTTGCTGCTGATGAGAAGTTTGGTGGAGTTTTAGAGTGCAAATCTAAAGGTTTTAGAAACTGGGTTGATGATAATGAGATGATTGATTTGGGTTATTATGGACCTAATTTACATGGAATAATAAGAGAGTCTATGCAAGGTTAGATCGAGCTATTTGTAATATGCGATGGAGAAGGTTATTTCCTGAGGCTAATGTTCAGCATTTGCCTAGGACTACCTCTGATCACAATCCAATTAAGATTAAGTTGAGCTCTCATTTTGTTGCTTCTCCGCACTTAAGGCCTTTTAGGTTTGAAGCAATGTGGATGCAACATGAACAATTCAATGAGTTTATTTCTGATGTTTGGGGACAAGCTGCTGGATCAGCCTTGGATAAAACTTACCAGTTGGTTCAGCCGCTAAAAGATTGGAATGTTAATGTTTTTGGACATCTTAAGAAGCGGAAGGCCTGTTTGTTGGCTCGTCTTAATGGTATTCAAAAAGCTTTGTGCAGGGGCTCAAATACTTTTTTGAGTAAATTGGAAATTTCTTTGATTGAGGAGTATAATTGTGTGTTGGAGCAAGAGGCTATGTTATGGAAACAAAAATCCAGATTACAGTGGCTTCAGGAAGGTGATCGAAACACCAAATTCTTTCATCTAACTATTATTATTAGGCGGCGGAGGAATAAAATAGAGAGATTAAAGAATAATGAGGGGGTTTGGGTTGAGGAAGCTCAAGACATTAAAGGCTTGGCTATGACATATTTTGAGCAGTTGTTTTCTCAAGAGATTGTGGAGCACAGAGATCTGACTTTACCTAAGTTGTTCCTTGTTATTGATTCGGCTGATTTGGAGTTGCTTGAGAAGGATATTGACATGGCTGAGATTAAGCGAAGTTTGTTTGGGATTGGAGGTTTGAAAGCTCCTGGTGTAGATGGGTTCCCAGCTTGTTTCTATCAAGCTCAATGAAATAAATGTGATGATGATATTTTCGCATTGGTGACTCAAGCTTTTTAGAAGTGCAGCATCCCTGACAAGCTGAATTACACTTTAATAACTTTGGTGCCTAAAGTGCAAAGCCCCCAGTCTATGGTTCAGTTTAGGCCTATTAGCTTATGCTCGACTCTGTACAAGGTCATCTCTAAAATCCTTGTGGCTCGGTTAAGGCCTATTCTTCCTGATCTTATAAGTCCCAACCAAGTTAGTTTTATCCCTAGACCACATATTACAGATAATATCCTTATTGCGCAGGAGTTAATGCATAAATTTAAGTTGTCTAAAGGGAAAAAAGGGTTTGTCGCTTGGAAAATTGACCTCTCTAAGGCATATGACAGGTTGAGTTGGCATTTTGTTGAGTATGTGCTTCTTGAATTAAGGCTGCCTGCTCCGTTTGTTAAGTTGATAATGAACTGTGTTCAATCTGTGAGATATCAGATTAATGAGAATGGGGAATTGACTGCTCCTTTTAGTCCAATGAATGGTATTAGACAAGGAGATCCCTTATCTCCCTACCTCTTTGTTCTATGTATTGAAAAACTCTCTCATATTATCTGTGATGCTGTTAGTAAGAAGAAGTGGCGACCTGTGAAATCTTCTCAGTCTGGCCCTGCGATCTCCCACCTCTTTTTTGCTGATGATCTGGTGTTGTTTGCGGAGGCTAGTGCTAGCCAAGCTAAAATTATGAAGAGTTGTTTGGATTTGTTTTGCTATGCTTCTGGACAAGTAGTCAATTTTGAAAAGTCTGCTGTCTTCTGCTCTCCTAACACTTGTAAAGAGGTTGCTAAGGAGATAAGTTTGATTTGTGGCTCTCCTCTTACTAATGACCTTGGTAAGTATCTAGGAATGCCTCTTTTGCATTCTAGAATCGGAAAGCGCACTTATAGTTCTTTAGTTGATAAGGTGCATAAACGACTGGCAGCTTGGAAGAGTAAGCTTCTTACTTTAGCTGGAAGAGCTACTTTAATTCAAGCGGTTACAGCTTCTATCCCTGTTTATGCTATGCAAACTACTAAACTTCCTGTTAGTGTCTGCAATGATTTAGATCGGCTCAATCGTAATTTTTTCTGGGGTAGCAGTGAAAAGAAATACAATATCCATCTATGTCAATGGGATTTGGCTTGTAGGCCTAAAGGTAAAGGAGGTTTGGGGTTTAAAAAGACTGCTAGTATGAATCAGGCTCTACTTGCTAAGATTGGGTGGAGATTGCATTCTAAGGACAGTGGTTTATGGGCAAAAATTTATGAGGCTAAGTATCTTAAAGGGGCTTCTATTTTTGATAATTCTCTTGGAGCAAGGTAGGTTTGTTCCACTACTTGGAGGAGTATTATACATGGTATCCATTTGCTTATGCAAGGGATGTGTTGGAGAATAAGTCGGGGAGACAACCCTTTATTGCAGCTGGCTGGGGTTCTCACCATCCCCGATAGCAATTGTCCTGTTTCAAGTTTCTCTATGAATGGCTGGTGGGACATTGACAAGTTGAGAGGTGTTCTTTGTGAAGATCTTGTTCAACAGGTCATTAGTGTTCCTGTGGGGTTTTTAGGCTCTTTACCTGATACTCAGATATGGAAGGGTAGTACTAATGGGGACTTTTCCGTTAAATCTGCTTATAGTTTATTCTTTGGAGGTTGTTCTACCTCTGACTCCTGCTGGAAGTCCTTGTGGAGTTTAAATGTTCCTCCTAAGTTGCAATATTTTATGTGGCTGGCTTCTCAAGGCAAAATCTTATCAAATGATCAGCGTGTTCGAAGGCAGTTGGCGTCTGACCCTTCATGTGGCTTTTGTTCTTGGCCTACTGAAACTGTCCTTCACATTCTTCGTGATTGTGAGCACGCTCGATCTACGTGGAATGCTATTCTCCCTGCCTGTGCTCATCATTTTTTCCATTTAGATGCTCAACCTTGGATGAAGGTCAATATGCTCTCTAGAGAGAAATGGAATGGTGATGTTCCTTCGAGTATTGTTTTTGTGTTTACTTGTTGGCATCTATGGTGTTGGAGAAATAAGCATGTTTTTCAGAATGAGGATACAACCCTCTTTAGTCCAAGGCAAGTTATTTGTGGGGCTGCTCATGAGTGGATTAAGTCAACGTCTAATCTCACTGTCAGGGTAAATAAAGTTCAAATTCATGTTGCCTGGGAGCTTCCTAGGCACCTGGGAGCTTCCTGGGCCTGGACAGTTTAAGCTGAATGTGGATGGTTCAAGGAGAAGCGTTACTGGTTGCATTGGTGCTGGGGGAGTCATTCGTGACCCTTTTGGTGGCTGGGTAAGTGGTTTTGCTATTAATCTGGGAAAAGGTCAAGTTCTTGAGGCTGAGATATGGGGTCTCTTCTTTGGTTTGAAGTTAGCAATTGAGAAAGGCATCAGTAGTCTCATTATTGAGATGGACTCAACTATTGCAGTCAATCTCTGTCAGAATTCTTCCATGCTTTCTTTGCACCCTTTAGCTGCTTTGGTAAGGAACTGCTGTGACCTTATGCAGCAGGTTCCCAGGTGTGCTCTTCAGCATGTTTTTCGTGAGAAGAATATTGTTGCTGACCGGTTAGCTAATTGGAGTTATCAAGTGGATCTTGGGCTGTGCGTGTTTGAGCAGGCTCCTAGTTGGTTAAGTGATTATCTTGTTGATGATCTGCTTGGAATTGTTCATTCTAAATTGGTCTGTTTAGACCAGGTTGTATAGTCTGTTCCTTGGGGCTTTGCCCCCCTACTTAATCAAAAAAAAAAAAAACGCGTAAATAATAGTTTTGTTTTTTCCTATCCCAAAAGAGATGATGTAGTTTGTGTTTTTTTGACAGGAGAATGAAAAAACCTACTAAAATCAAGGTATTCCGTTCTGATTCCGGCGTATATCTCCGCTACCTTCCGAACTCTGCTTGACAAAACAACTCATGTTTTTATTTCTAAATTAGCATAATACACCAGTAACCATTAAGCTTAAGCTTCAACATACAAAAATACAAATCATAATGCAAGGGCAGCCTTTTCATAGTAAAACCCAACACAAGACCTACCAAATGGCAAAGACCCAAATACTCAGAAGGTAAAATCTAAGAAGAAGTCAAGGTGGGAATCATTCCAGCTTCTCTAGCATAAGCAAAAATCCCACCAGCTCTAATGACTGGGCCCGCATCCCCAATGGGCTTCAACGTGTACTCTTTGCCAGTCGTGTGATTGATCAGACGGCTCTCGCTCAGCTCGATGCTCACCACATCTCCAGTCTTGCACTCCTCGCAAACCCTAACCTCCGACTCCAGCGGGTACACCTCGCCAGTCGCCACCGAGTTCCTGAAGAAGATGCGCGCGTAGGACTCCGCCACTACCGCAGCAACGCCCGCCGCCCCTAGGGCCACTGGCGCGTGCTCGCGCGATGACCCGCACCCGAAGTTTGCGCCCGCGATTATGATCGAGTACTTGGACTTGGTCTCATCCGGGTCCACGAAGCGCGTGGAGTAGGCGTCCGGGAGACCGCAGAGCGCGTAGGATCCGAGCTTCTCGTACTCGGAGGGGTTGGAGGGGACTAGGGTCAGGTACTCGGCGGGGATGATCTGATCGGTGTCGATGTTATCGTCGAGGACGTAGCAGAGGCCGTGGAATGTGGTGGATGGGGTTGTGGATGCGGCGGCGCGTGTGGAGAAGGTGGCGCGTAGGGTTGGGGTTGGGTTTGGGGTTTGGAGTAGGGGCGCGTGGGTGAGGGATTTGATGGTGGATGGGGATACGGTTGGGAATTTGAGAAAGGTTGGGGTAGAGAGGGGGTGGGAGGGCTTGTGGGTGGTGGTGGTTGTGAAGCTAGGGTTTGGAGAGAGAGAGAGAGAGATGGCGGCCATGGCTGGAGCTTGGAGCTTGGAGCTTGGAGCTTGAAGCTTAGTGTAACAAACAGGAAATGAATTGGGGTGGGTTTTTCGTTTGATTTTTAACTTGGTAGGTTTTAAGTGGTGGAGACTTGGTGTACGACGGTGAAGATGGTGCCGTTTTGATGTGGGCAGGCAGGCGTGTGTGAATTGAACTCTCTTACATTTTTTATCGAAGAACTCCCCAACATTGAAAAATAACACCATCATCAATAATCAATCAATTTCATTTCAACCATGAAGCCTATATAACTTTAGTCATCCTCCACTGCATGCCATAAACTATTATCAGCCAAACTGTATATATATTTTTTTAACAAAAAAAATTCTTAAAAAAGAAACTGGTTTGTTTTGGTTTGCGGTGAACATGGAACTGATTCTTCGGAGAGAGAGAGAAAGGGGGGTACCGGTCCGGATAGAAAGCTGTTACGTGGTCATATTATCGTAGTATTTTAAGTGAGAGTAAAGGTTTGTGGTGATGAACTCCCGCAGTATATTTGTTTGCCTTTACGGCCTTTGAAAATGGGGAATTTTCAAATTTGGCCCGATTAGGCCAGGAGCTGGGCTAAAAGGGCATTTTCAAGTTTGGGCCTATTAAAAAAGAGCCTGTCTAGAAACCAGGAAGGAAACCACGATGTCGTTTTCCGTAAACGACACATCGTCTTTTCGAGACAATTTAAAGATTAGGGTTTGTAAAAAAGAATGGACGGCTCAGATCCGAAGTTCACGATACCTTCCAACGCTATAAAGTCCCGGTTTCATCACAAACCCTCACTCTTCGTGTGGCGAAAACCCTAGCTCAACTGCCGAAACCTGTGCCTTGCAGCTCATTTCTGATACGATGGGTACCTCTCTCTCTCTCTCTCTCTCACACACAGATTTTGTTCCATTTTCATTTTGAATTTCATGCATCTGTTTCTGTTTATATAAACAATGAAACTTCAGCTGAATCTGTTTGATATGCATTTGATTTGTCTGATGCTTAGCTTACCAAGCTTCTTGTTGTTGATTTCCAAGCTTACAGAAGATGAAAATTTTATGAACTTAAAAATCTTTTGTTATTTCTCTTGTTCCTTATATTTACTAGCCCGTCCACCGCATTTCCAAGTTTTAAATAGTTTGGCTTATAGTCTTTAGTTTAAAGTAGTTATATGACTAAAGTTAGTTTTCATAATTTGAATGAAATTAATGACACTGTTATTGACACATTTGTTATGATTTGGTTTTTGATTGATTAAAATGGGTTTAATCTGAAATTGATTTCCTTGAAATGCTTGAGTTGGGTGATTACAACATTGGAAACAATCTTTAGAAACTGATGGACATGGGTATTGTTTGAGATTGGGATGTGTAGCTTTAGATGCTTATAGATATTAATTGAGTAATGATCTGTTTATCTAATATGTGGTTTTGTTTGTGTTATTTTGGGGGCATTAGGAGCCTACAAGTATGTGTCGGAGATATGGAGGAAGAAGCAATCCGATGTGATGAGGTTCCTCCAGAGGGTGCGCTGTTGGGAGTATCGCCAGCATCCTTCCATCGTCCGTGTCACAAGGCCCACACGCCCTGACAAGGCTCGTCGTTTGGGTTACAAGGCCAAGCAGGTAGTGATAATTTCTTAAATTACATGCCATACACAACTCATTGTTTAAATTATGGGTTTCAGCGTTTATCACCAAGTTTAATAGGCTTCTGGCCAATTGATATACATGTATTCCCATGTTTGTCTTTTGACTCTATGAAATGATAATTATGGTTGCGTGTTGCGAAGGATTACTGTCTTGTCTGGTACTTATCTTGTGGTCTATTAGGTTCATTTCATTCTTTCAGTTGTGCATGCATGCTTCCTGTTGTGAATTGTTTCCTTTTGTTGTGCGCCTATGGGCCTAATCCAGTATGTGTGCTGGTTAAGCAGCATTCTGATGCTTAAGCATTTTACCTAAAAATGCTGCTTTCCTTAAGTGATTGTATGCTTCCTGAGACCAGCTATGCTAAACCAAACATTTGATCTTCTGCCAAGCGAGTTCTATCTATGGTTTTTGCTGTTGTCTCCATCCGATACATTGCACTATTTTCTGTATCCTATATATTTCTTTGAACATGTGTTTTTGTTGTCTCTTCTCATGCACCTCTTGGTCTTTGTGCCCCAGCCAGGTTTAATTGAATTTTTAGTTGGCTGATAGTTCTAGTAAAATTTGGTGCAGGGTTATGTTGTTTACCGTGTCCGTGTAAGGCGTGGTGGTCGCAAGAGGCCTGTTCCCAAGGGTATTGTATATGGGAAGCCCACAAACCAGGGTGTGACACAACTAAAGTTTCAGCGCAGCAAGAGGTCTGTTGCTGAGGAGCGTGCTGGCCGTAAGTTGGGAGGCCTTAGGGTTCTCAACTCATACTGGATCAATGAGGTTTGTGACTCAGTTTTGATTCTAATATACTTGGGTTACAGAACTTGTTTTTATTTATTTATTTGTTTCTTGGGCTTGGTGTTTGTTTAATTTTGTGATGTCCTGCTTACATTTCCTGTTTTGCAATCTTTGAATGCAGGACTCAACTTACAAGTACTTTGAGGTAATCCTCGTTGATGTTGCACATAATGCTATCCGTAATGACCCAAGAATCAACTGGCTCTGCAATCCTGTTCACAAGCACAGAGAGCTTCGTGGGCTCACTTCTGCTGGGAAGAAGTACAGGGGACTGCGTGGAAAGGGACACTTGTACCACAAGGCACGACCTTCCCGCAGGGCTACCTGGAAGAGAAACACCACCCTCTCCCTTCGTCGTTACCGTTGATTTCGATCATTTTATCTTATGTTTTGTGTTGTTTCTGGGTACTTTCAGGAAGACAATCTTTGTTGTGAGTTTGAAATTTTGGCACTTAAAAACTTGAACCATGTTCTATTTGAATGGATTACCCTCTATTTTAGTCTCTTGTGCTATTGTTAAGTGATTAGTTTTATATTTATGTTGCAAGGTTCCAATTATCTTTTATGGTGAATTTTTCTTACGTTGTGGCGTGTTTTGGGAGATTCAGTTTTCTGGCTTGTTTGATGTACGTACGGTTTCCACTGCCAAGTAGATTTATTTGGTCTACTGCTTTGTATACGGTAGACCTATTTTTTTTTTTTATTGGCTCGAAGAACAGTAGACCTATTCATGTTGCCTGTAGACATCAAAATCTCAATAAGATGTTAAACGAGAAAAGCATTGAATTTGTGAGTTGGATGTCACTTGCAAAAATTAAAACTAACTTGAATGGAATGGATGCAGAAATTAATTAATTAGATTTTCATTAGAAGATAAAACCTCAAGCCAATTCAATGAAATGAGTTGAGTTCTTTTGGTTCACGAACTTTATGCTATGAGCATACAAAAACTCAAACTTGACTTGAAATTTTAGCGAGTTTTATAACTTCTTTTCTCTACTGTCACTGATGTGTTGGAAATAATTGAGGTTTTGAATGAGCTTAGAATTGAGTAAATCAGACACCGCCATATCATTTGGTGAATAAATTTGACATCGTGTTGTGTTACGAATACAACAATGTTTTGCATGGCATTTCTGAAATAGGAGGAAAGAATATTGTGGGTTTTTAAGGTCTTGAGACTACAGCCTTCCATGAATGTAGCTGTCTTTCAAATTATGCAGTGCTTCTCTGATTGAATCCTCATCCTGGCTGGAGTACTTCAAACATATCAGCCGCTGAGCGACATGGTACGCCATCTGGATCGGTTGGTATTGAAGGCAGTTTACTTCCATCCTCCTCACTTCCTAAACATCGAAATTTTAAATTTCTTAGTCACCGGTTAATGACGAAGGGACTTCCATTCAGAATACCAGAATCACTCTTAAATTAATTCAGATCCATTGATAAAAAGGAGGCAAAAAGGTACAAGATAAATTATATGGATTTCAATGACATTGCATTGCAATGGGACTGAACCACTTCCTTTGTTTTTTGACATGGGGTAGCAGTGTTCTGGAAATTCCTGGCCCTATTTCATCTTAAATCAGATTTTGAGGAAAAATACCAATATAAAAAGAAGACTCTATGTTTATGGCAATGCGAATATATAAGATAACTTTCAATTCTTGGTTACTCGAAATAATTCACCTTTTCTGTGATCCTGGATGTGATGTTTCTGGCTGTTTCAATTACTGAGCTTGGCAGTCCTGCCACTTCTGCTAATAGAAGGCCATAGTGCGGAACATGTCTCGCTCCGTCCTTCAGTTGAAACTACGCAAACAGACAAGACTTTCAGCCACCAAAAGTCACATAAAATCAAGATTAGAGTGAAAGGATCTTGGAAAAACTACCTTGAAATCTAGACGGTTATTTTTAATGTCAACATCAAAGTGAAGTATTTTCACATTTGGATAGACGGTTACTAGTTCTGATAGGTTTTCCATATGAGTAGCAAATATAGTATACCTGAGAAAGATCGAGTAGGATGGTATGTTAGCTTCTGCAAATAAAATTTCATCACTAACTAGGCTTTGTATGACATCGTTCATAAGAAAAAGCCTTGGAAAAATGTAAACAAAAGCTATGGTAGTTGATAAGCAGTGACAGAAAGGACCACAAAGACAATAAGTTCTTAAACTACCAAAACCAGATAGAACTAAACAATAATATTATTTCTAAATGCGTCTCACTTCTGTACAGTCTTGTGGTATGCCTACTTATCTAGACGAACCATATGGCAGTACGTAAAAAAGGATGAGTTAATTGGTTTCTTTTCTCCCATACATTCTTCCATTCTTTATGTACGCTTAATAAGTTCGTCGCAGATTTTCACAACAATTGGAAGCATTTAGCTTCAATGCAAGTGATATATAAGCAGCTTCAATTGTTTAACATAGTGAAAACCGTGTGCATCAATTTTTAAAGGAACACATTTTAAACTTTTCCATACTCAAAACTCATAAAATTTCATCTGAGGTAACCCACTGGAACCTTGGTAAATGGTAAATTGGAAAAGAGATTACGCTTTCAGTGATAACAAATGTTCGCAGCAGCTCCAAGCAATTGCAAATCCATCAGAAGAAGATGTAGCCCTCCCAAGTTCATCCATAACAATCAGACTCCTATGTCCAACATGGACCAAATATTATTGGATATTACTGTATATTCAAAGGGTTAAATAAATCTTGTGGTGTACTACCTCTGGGAGACATTTTGCATGATAAAAGCTGT